TAAATTTATTTGGTTATTAAAATGTATACGCTGTACATCAATGAATCTTACGACAAATACAATTAGCCAATACAATAGAACGTCTAGAAAATAGTTTCTCGATGTGTTAGAGTTTCCAAGTTCGCTAAATAGCGGTAAACCAGATTAAGTTGAAAGTTAATGGTTTCAACGACGGCAAGGGAGTAGATGAACTATTATATCTATATTGCGGTTACTGTTTTAGATAGTGTACAAATAAAAATTGATCATTAATGTTTTGTTTGTAACGTCTGAAAAGCATGATGCATGACATGGTGGCGGAGCCTGTATATTATACATAATAATATATTATTATAGTATTTCATACTATGGTAAATTTATACATAGCATTATAAAATTATATAAGTGGATTAATTATGTGTATGACAAAGTGATTAAAGTGATGATTAAACTTCACAACGCCAGTAGCGAAAATCAAACTGTAGAGTATTGTGCTGTATAGTATAAATGTATAATCAGTGGCGTAGTGAGTGTATAGTGACCGTGGTTTCCTATTTTTTTTTCATTGGGTATGTAGTATGTACCATAGGGTATAGGTACTTGGTCAGTGCCGTGGGCTTAATTAAATTAAACCGCAATGGGATAATAGTTAAAACGTATTAAGGTAAACTAAATATTACGTAAAATCTTTATGATTATCCTTCATATAGTACCTATAAGAATCATTCATATTTAAGTTTAAAATGTTTTTTTTTTCTTAAATTAGTTTTTAGTCTGTTCTATGACAGCTCGACAATTATACGATTATAGAACAAAATCTTATAACACAGTGTCTAAAGCAAAATTAAATTCGATTACGGTTTAACTATTTATTGTAATGTTTATGATATGGGTATATGTGTATAACAATATATTGCATCGTTCACAAGAATACAAGATGACAATAAACCATTTTAGTTTGAAACTCATTTATATATACAAAAAAAAAAAGAAAATGGTAATCTTGGTACCTCGTGAAGGACTTAAAAACAACTTCAAGTCATAGGAATAAAATAGTGTAAAATTGGTATGGGCATTTGGTTTTTACGTTTTGAAGCCAAAAACATTATTCAACATTAAATTGTAACTTGACTTTGATTGAGACGGGACCTATATTATATCCACAGGTATTGTAAACAAAATTGAAAGCAGAAGCGAAATAAGTGGAAAGTATATGGGATTTGTATGTTTGGGTAGAATAAAAGTGAAAGCGTATGAGTTTAATAACACGGAGATTTATGTGGAATGAAAGAGATGTGAAAAGTTGCATAATAAGGTAGAAAAATCCAGAGGGATATAAAAGTGAACTAAAAAGAATGAAAGAGCTCAAAAGATAATAATGTGGCAGTGTACTAATAATTCTAGGCATTGATACTTTTATTAAGTATAATTGTATGCAAGGTTTAAAATATTACAATGTAAAATGTATTGTTAATATTTAGTTGAATTAATATTACCAGTATCATAGGTGGTATAAATATAATACATTACCAAATTATTTATCTAATTAATTATTATACGTACCTAATATAAATATTATAGTGTATTGGTTATTTAAACTATCTAAAGATTGAATACTCCTAACAAAAATAATCAAAACAGTTAGAATGAGAAACAATAAACAAACGTTCAGTTTATAATTACATTTATTTGAAATTTAATGTTTTGTTTAAGAAAAAAAAACTTAAATAATTAGAGAAGACCACAAAAATAAAATAACAAACACAAAATAAAAGTAATAAATAAATTGTTAAGTTGAAATGGTAACTGAAGTTATAAGGTTTAACATGACAGCATACAAACTTAATAATTGACAATTTACTTATAGTTAGAGACAACATTATAAAAAAAAAAAAACAGCAAATATTTTTTCGGATGAACAACATTAATACAATTAAAAGTCAATATAACTATTTATAAGTAATATGTAGTTTTCAAGGACCGAATAGTCAACTATGGGCTATGTCACATGATAATTCTAACAAATGTTTATGAAAAACGAAAGGACAAACATTATTCTAGACATGTTTTAGAAAATAAAAATGCACTTGTTCCTTTATATGTGTCTTTTGCACGTAAAGAAAATAGACATTCTAGAATGGTCGTGAATTGGATTCTAAAGTTTTACAACTAGACTACATTGGATTGGCAGTTCTGCGAATAGGATTTTCGTACCTTTATTTCTTCAACATATAAGTAATATAGCTTCATAATATTTCTATAATACGATTTAGTATATGAGTAAACTAATATCAAAAAATTAAAATAGGTTTAAATATCAAATTTTAAATTTAAAAGATACATTTATAGATTACATCATAGATTAATAACCATGTATATAATGTATATAATAATTATAGTTATAAATATCGAAACAATTGCTGGTTGCACCTATATATCAGTTATTTTAGTTACATAAATCGATAATTACTGTAGTGACTTTAGAATTAGAAAATAAATCAGTTCATGCGAATACTTTCTGTGAATTATTCATTTTCCTTAAAAACTTATTTGGTATAGTTAGTAATAATAATAAATAAATTTAGTCTAAAAATATTCAAAGACGTTCAATATTTTATTGGATAATAAACGAATTTATAGTAGAAATCTTCTTTGACTTTTGAGAAAACCAATTTTGAAAGTATAACATTTGATATTTTGTTATGAAATATTATTATGGTTCATACCTACTACTCTTTCTCGCCACAGTAATTATACACTGCAATATGTTGAAAATGAAGAGTTGTTTGTAAATTATATTTCAAATTTAGTTTTAATAATTATATACATATATATTTTAAATACCTAATATCTTCGTGCACGCCAAACAATTTAAAGAACATTCATTCATTCATAGTTATAAAAATAAAGGAATTTGTATCATTGAAGCACTTTATATTTAAACGAATAACACGGCAATACCTATGATGCACCTGCAGATTAGAAAAAACGGCACTCAGCCCAGAAATGGTATTAAGTTAAAACGTTTATTGCATAAATTACGTTATATGTGATATCTAAAAGTTGAACCTATGCCTCACGTCCATAATATTATATAGATTATAATGGCATTATATTATTATATTTTGTGTATTACACGGGTATTGTTATTCAGCAGACTGTACAACTCGAATGTAATCGTATTTTTTTTTTACTCGCAGAACTCAGCATAAATGCATAATACACAGGTACCTACTATAATATATTGTGTAAAATGTTCATTCGGAAAACGTATTAACTAACGTAAAAATTCTAATATTTATGATAATCACAATAATATTATAAGTAAGTATAAGAATAAGTATAAGTAGTTTTTTACGTATAACCTACGTTTTTTATGGAATATGAGGAAACAACAATGCAATAATGGCGAGGACCAACAATCACGGATCAATGTTATAAACCAAATCATTACCAATTTTTGGATATTCCGAGCTCCATTAAAATTGTATTTCAAATTTAATAAATTATTTTGCTCTATATGAATATTATACTACGGTCAAAATAGGGCTGTCTATTTATTTATTTATTTATTTTTTTTTTGATAGTATAAATTATTATTTTATAAGTATTACAGTAGGCAATATTTTTTAAAAATATTTGAGGTTAAGAGCAAAATAAAATGTTTTTCTGTATATTATATTATACGACGTATGACTCTAGAAATAAGTACACGGTAGTGTACTGATGTGTAAACATAGTAACATTGCTCCCAAATCATCATTTTTATGAATATCAAAGCTATATTATGACCATTTCTGATATTGTTTATTTTCTTGTACAGTTATTTTCTGCTAATGGAGTTCAACAAAATAAAAAAATAATAATTTATATAAATTAAATACAGTCGTTGTTCCGCACTTGACATTGACTGTCACTCTATGTTATTCTTTTAAAATGAATACTAAAACTTATTTTTTGTTCAAAGTGTCAAGACAACAGCTCAAATATTGTGTTCCCCTTGGGGTTGGTCATCTCTCTAAAACAAAACGAAATAGTATAGTTACTTATTCAGAGCTCAAATTAACAAACTTGCCTGTCTTTTACCTTACAATATAACGTATCGAAAAAAACAAAATAAAATTGTCAAACACTAAATTCTATAAAAAAAATGTATTATTAGAAGCCTTTCAACTGACCTACATACAGACAATGTTTTGATAACAATTGGATCAAACACATCATGTCTCAATAACATAAAATATTATATAAATATATTTTAATAAATATTTTAATACTAAATTCATCTTCTAAATTATCTCAAAATTCAAAATTACATAAAATCAGCACATAATCTATATATTTACAGCTAAAAATTATTTTTCTAGTCTCTTTCAAAATTATAATACCGAATTCTAAACTGATGCTGAAAATATTACTAGGTATCAAAAAATAACCTACCCCAATATTTATAAAAATAAAATTCATAGTTTTGCAATCAAACTTTTAGCGAACAAAAAAAATCTGCCTAATTAATTCGTAAAATGTCTACAAAACATTCGATCTGAATAAATGTTGGTCCAATTAGTATATTTATGTGGATCTATTAAATGAGTAAAATATCATGATACAGCAAATGTTTTATTATTAACTGATCTGTACGGACTCGTAAAACTTGAATTATAATACAATTATTAATGTAATAATCAATATTGACGAGCGACGATCAGGTTCAGTGAAAATAAAAATAAAAATTATAGTGTACATTTGTTTTCTTATACACTAATAGTGCCTAAGTGCATGCGTAACAACTATTACAATATATTGACAGTCAAATCAATCAGGCTGTTTCAAATATTTTATAACTCTACCGGGTAGGTTTGATTAGGATCAGGTTGTATAAAAGTCGTACATAACTAGTAACTACCTCGATAGCCTATTGGCAGACGTAAAACCCATAAGTGGTTTGTTGTCTTAAACTATTATGAGCTGGGCGATGAATGTATTTTATTTTAATTCCGTTTAAAATTTATCAATTTCAGTGTCCGCAGTGAACGGGCCGTGGTTAAACGTATCAAAAGTTAACCGTTTACACATGGGCGCATATCTGTGCATAGCGTCTAACGGAATTCCACCGTCAGTCAGCAAACGCATCATGCTCATCATACAATGTGAGTGAAACTAATTAACCACCGTAGGTATGTCCGCACACAAACACACACACACGCGCACAACGTTCAACGGCGGCGTACAATGTAAACATATCATACGGAGTGTTTACGGGTTAACTGAACAAACTTTGAGAATGATCTCATTTTTATGTGAATGGAATCGAAAACCCATTTCGATTTGTACAACAGTACCTACGCGATTTTCAACGGTAGCATTGCCGCAGCTTTAATTAGTTTGTGACTGCAGATAAGTTCTCGTAATGTGTTGATATTTTAGCGAAAAACGGATTCTTCTAAAATACTTCTTGTGAGGCCACTCTGATGGGCGTTAAGAAAAACTAAGAAACTGTATGATGCATATCGATATAACTATATATGTACAAAGCTTTCTCGTACGACCATATTCTCGTCTTGTATTTAGTTTCAATCGTCATATATATGAAATTCAATTAAACGGCTGTCATAATAGCACCTTTTAAAATCATGATTTCACATTACTTAATCCCACATTCGTAAATCGCGAAACAGGTGTTCGATTCCAGACTAACGTGACAACGTTTTCATAGCTTTTATAGAAAACCCCCAAACACCCTGTATTAGCTACTCTGTGTGTGGGTATGTATGTGTGTGTGTGTATGTTTTGCCTGCAGTAAGCGAGTAACAATGTATATGGTGGTAAATATTATTATTCCACGATTTTCCGTCAGGATTATTGGATTTCATAATAATTTATAATTTTTTTTTGTGTGCTTGTGGTTTTTTTCTTCTTTTTTTTCAACAGTCCCTCCCATGATATGGATACAAAATCAGCTCGTCGGTGCACAAGAAGGTCAATCGGTCACTTTGGAATGTACGTCCGAAGCGTATCCCAAATCAATCGATTACTGGACAAAAGATAAAACGACCATCATATCAAACGGTTAGTATATGTATATAATAGAAAACATTGTACACTTAAGTACGCGTATAGACTGATAAGCATTAGGCATCACCTACCTATATAATATTATGTGTATTATTGTATACGTTTTCTTGTTGTTTGGAATCCATCATCTACGTTTGCGAAAGAATTATTTCCATAATGAAATAGACACCTATAATATATTATATAATAGATATTGTTCATATTGATTGAATAACATTAAGACGTGTAGAATTGTGCTAGTCTGCTGCAGTTAGCACTACAATACGGTTTTGATTTTCATCGGATTTTAAATTGGGCGCAAAAGGTGGACCTCGAATAATACAGCTCCGACCGTGGTGTGCCGACCAAAACGGTACCCGTAATAAATATTATTATGAATACCAGAATACCTACACCGGTGTGGGTACGACTGTTTGCAAACGAAATAAGTGTACAACTAAATCGTTTCCGACGTTATTATAATAGACAATGATATCGCAAGGAAAGTATATAGGTACAATTATATTGCATTATGATTTATCCTGAAAGGACATTAATATCCATTAAAATGTTATTATTTTATAATACGTGAACGAATATATAATATTATATAGTGGGTACGTATTCTAAATATTTAAGTATCAAGTATAATTTTGTCAATATGCATCAATGAAATATAGAACATATTTAATAATTACGTCATTAACTTAAATATAATACAATATTAATACTATAATTATTATAATATATTGTATTACCATCACCAATACTATATAATATTAAAGTTAGCTCTATTTATGCATGTCTTGGTAAGTCTAATGAAACATGAAATGATCATTTATTATTAAAAATATATTCATTTCCACTATATAAAATACAAGATAAATTATGTAGTTTAATAATTAAAATGTAAAAACTACGTGAATCGATAAAAAATAATAATTGAAAAAACATTTCATCATTTATTAAAGGAAAAACAGTTTTCTTTTAATTTATTATGATTCATTAAATAATATAAAAGCATATTAAGATCACTGATGTGTAAAATAAAGGTGTACATAAATATTATAAATTAAATTTAAATACTAAACTGACAGTTTATTGCTGATTAAATTGAATTTAATCGATAAAAATTGTTTAAGACTGCCATATTCTTTCCTACAAATAAACGTACACGATGACAGAAGGTTCACAATTATAGAATATTTGCTTATCCGTAATAAATACAATACAACACTTTTGAATCTATTCTATATCAACAGCAAACTCAAATATGACTAAAAAATATTTTTTTTAAATTATTGTAAATGTACATGGCTTGTCACCACAGTTGGTGAAATCTATTATGATAATAATTAAAAAATATAATATAATTTAATACCTATATGAATAATAGTATTGTATAAATAAAAAATATAATATTTTGGACTTATAAATAATAATAATAAATTACATTGAATGATTACCAACATATTACAATACCTGTCATTAAAGATTTAAATCTTAAAGTTATGCTCATATTTTATTATCTATTTATATGACTATATATTTAAGAATCTAATTTGATTTTGGAGACGAAGGAAACCGGTTTTGAACAATCATTATAATAATAATGATAATTAACTAATTACCAATTATTTTCATATATTCACTGATAATGATGTCTGTTTCTTTTTTTTATTTTATAATCGTTGTATTATTTGTATAGCCAAAAAATAGTCTTATGTTTTTAAATTAAATTATAAAAAAATAATTTCTTCCGGAGGAAGGTCGGGCAGCTAGTATTAGATGTAATGTCAAAATCAGATTGTAGGTATCTATACGTTAAGAACCTGAATTCGTTGACAGGTACTGCTCTTTCTTACGTTGCAGGTATAGTATTTCTCCTTCCGGTTACTGTTTTACCATTTTCAATTATATTATCAGATTGGAAAAACATAATTTCATTGTCACCTGATCACCGTTGTTATAGAGTAACTACGTACAATCAATTACAGATGCACAAATAATATATTCTACTCCAACTCTCAGAGTATCAACTGAGTAGTTTTTTAATATTATTGTTAAAATATAACTATAATGTTAAGCTTCAATCACGTGACAACTGCAATGTGTTGGTGATTTGGTAATATAATTGGAAATTCCAATAGATTATAACTTAACCTAACATAGATTATTACTGTTATTTATTATATAATTGTTTAGTTGTAGCGATTGATAGAAAATTTTCAGTCTTGTCCGTGTCTATTGCCTCCCACACAAAGTATATACACGATTATGACGAGCAGCGAAAGTGCATTTTTCGTGCAACTTCCAGACTATGAGTGGTGACACCTGTAATGTTCCATTGTGCAGCGGAAACATACTGGTTTAGTCCGAACAACATGACTAGCAAATCAATCGAAATATTACCATAATGATTAATGGGTTGTCCGCAAAATTTTTTCAATTTATTTCGAGGGAGAAACGACCCTAGTGCTCATTTCTGAATAATTCTTAACTTGAAGTTTTGATAAAGGGATTAAGCTTTCTCTCGAAGAAGCAAATGTTGGAATGTCTTCACATTGTTATTATGATTATTATTTTGTTTACAAGTTGTTCGCGTACTCGCCGTGTTAGCATCCGATAGTTAACGATCGCATCATATTATATTTTTAGTGCTCGCCTATCATAACGACATTACAAATACTAATATACGGAATTTTTCAGGAACCAAATACCACACAGATCTGCAGGACAACGCATACAAAACGCACATGAAACTGACGATAATATCGGTAACGTTGTCCGATTACGGCACGTACCAGTGTGTTTCGAAAAACTCGTTGGGCGACACAGACGGCACTATTAAGCTTTACGGTAGGTTCATGCAGATTAATATGTACGTATACCTAGATTATTATCATAATTTTTACTGTGAAAAGAAAAATGCATGCATACAAAACGAATATACATCCATTTAACATGCTCAACTTAACTTTTAAATAGATTTGAATACTATATCATAATTTAAAATATGTGTGCATAGTAAATAAATTCTTTACTTTTGCTGATTTTCTTCGTGTAATTAGGTCTCGGATATATACAAAGTGATTCAAAATGTATTCTACAGCCATTTTATCACATACATTTTTAAAATAGTGAAAAATATAAAATACAAAAGGTTTTTGATTTAGAAGCACCCCATCTATTATGATTTCATAATTTTATAATTGTTTACAATATTAAAGGGGGTTTCGGGGAGTCAACTTTAGAAATTCAAATGGAAACCTTTTTTTAAATAGCCCTCAAGCATAGAGTTTTGCATTAAGTTATGCTGTTCATGCACAACAACTTTCTAAAAATGTCTTCACATTATGTTTTTGCAAAACAAGTATAGGTTCCAATTTCATTTTCTAAAGTCAATTTCCCGAAACCCCCCTGAAATAATTTAAACAATTATAAAATTATGAAATCATAATAGATGTTTCTAAATCAAAAAACTGTTGTACCTATTATACATTTTTTTCTATTTTTATTATTGATATGATAAAAAGGCTGTAACATCAATTTTGAATTACCTGTAAATAATAACTGTACTTCAAAATAAATTAAATTCCTTTAATATTTCATTAAAAAAATATAGTACAATACTTATCGTAATTTAATTAAGTATATTGTTTTGCTATAAATTATTTAACAACCTATTAATTTCGTAATACATAGATTTTATACAAATCATTTTGTAAACAAATTATTGTTAGAAAAATAACTAAATATTTAATCACATTGTAATATTATAAAATGGCTTACACTTCATGAACATTTTAAAAATGAATATGAATAATATGAATATATTAATATTTTGTATCACCATGCAATTAAAAAAAAAATGATCAATATTTTGAATAATAGAGATTAATTTGTTTAAAAACAAACTCATTAGTTTATATATTATCATAACATCGTAACAAATAAATTATTTAATACTTAATTACGTTCGAGTCCTATATAAGTGAATAGCCTACTATAATATTTACAGTACACTCAGAGAACGATATTTTTTTAAATATAATTTTTCTATAGGTATCGAGTTGATGTCTTATGAAAAGTGTAATAGACAATAGTACGCAAAATTACTAAAAAAGATTTTAAAGGAGCTTAAAATATTGAACATTTAAGTCATTCAATATATTTTATAATTTATGTAGGGAAACCGTAAACCAGTATTTTCATCATCAATGAAGTGTGTTCTAGACTTCTAGTCTTATAATAAACATAATATTATAATGTGACTTATATGTGCTATTATTATATGGCCAATATGGTCACCACTCAACTAAAGTTTTTAAAATGCCAACTGATCATTAATTATAATTTAAAAGTCTTACAATTATTAAATACATATTATGTTAGGTATATATTTAGGCTTTTAGAACCGACAGCTATATATTTTACATATTAATATATTATATTATATAGTGACGGTTAGAAAATCAATATAAAAGAATAATACTGAAATCTCTTACACATTTTTTTATTTTCAATAAATGTTATGTATTTGTATACACGCAGTATGGATGAATAAAATGTTGATAATATAATTAAATTAACGATAAATAAATTAGCCAGTACTGCACTGGAGGTTAAAACACAATTTTGTGAAACCTCAAATTATATATTCATACAATTTATACCAGATGTATTTATTATTGATGAACATCAATTTAGTACACATTTGTTCTCTTAATATTATGATACCATGGTCCATGACAACTATATGAATAACAATCATAATATTATAAGGTCCTAAAAACATATAAAATGAGTCACTAGTATAAAATTATAATCTCGTTTTAAATAAATAATACATATTAATATGGAAACCGGTATTACCAATAAATTTTATTTAGGTGAATCCAATCATACGCCTTACGCGCCAACATCAGAAAACCTATACAAACCATTAACAATATTATATAATATTATAAATAGTTATAATAATGACGTTAAAAAGATTTCAGGTACAGCTAGGTATAATATAATTCTCGAAATTACTACAGTATTGACTACCTTTATGAAATCCTGCTCGAAACAAGGGAATCTGCACTAGATGTATGCATATAAAATGTATAATTTCGGACAGCATCTTTGAGTCAGATTCTGGAGAAAATTAATGGTTTGGAAACTTAATATTTACAAATCGTATAAACATCGCTTAACTGTATACCCGTGGACTGCAGAAAAAAACGATGTAGTACGAGACCCTAGCCAAATATGTCAACCCTAGATAGGTACTTAAATCGTTCGGTGAACAATATAATGTAAAAAATATATAATTATTGCTTAAGTATAGCTTTCGAATCACCTGTTCTGTAATAATAATAATAATATTAATAATATTCTTAAAACAGTTTGTTGATACTTTAGTAGGCACTAGGTACTTAAATATATTGTCTCCGTTGAATGAAGTAATATTTCCAAGCACAAGTTTTTTTCCTGTGATAGTCAAGCCGTCTGTTGTAAGGACTATAATATTTCGTGTTGTGCCAAAGTCTTAAAATGTTTTTTCTTATCCGTTTATAGATTTTTACAATACAACCGTATTTTCGTTATTTTTTCCGAAAGTATACATTTATTGACAGTGATAACTTTAACGTTCATGTCGAACACATAATAGTTAGATACATGTGATATGATACTGATATCTACCTACTCTATTCACAATCCTGCAGTGATAAGCTATCTACGCTATATCTCATATTATATTTCTTTGCGACTTTGAGTACATTGTATGCTGTAGATCTATTCACTTTGTATTTTACAATCCAGCAGTAAGTATATAATTCATCGAGTTATAGGTATTATAATCAAACGAGTAATTTGTTTTCAACTCGTTTGAGACTTGAGTAATATTAAATCACTGTGCAGGCATACGTGCCCCATAACAAACACAAACATAATAATTATTATAATTTGTTCCTAATTATAGTCTTAATTTTAATTTTTTACAATCGATCATTATCATAATACTCATAGATCAAAATTAGTGACAAAAAAACAGATTACGACTAGAAACAGACGTGTTTATTAGGAAAATAAATATCACAGTTATAATTAGTTGTTACAGGTACCTGATATTATACCAAATCCCCCCCTCCGCCCTCACAATAACTTTCTAACTCAGTTTATAATATTTGATAGTATGTATACTACATTATTAAGCCTTTGAAAAATCACTATCATATTAGTTATTGGAGAGTCTCGATATAGTATTGTGTTCAGTATTTTTTAGTTTACGTACACTAGATTAAATTTAATAATGAACTAAAATAATTAAATGTTTAAAATCGTGTTTTTTGAAAAATCCGAGGCATTTGATTCATAAAACTAGTTTATGTAAATATTTTAAAAGTCGAATTCTTAATGTCCTTAAAGTACTAACAGTTATGTGAGCTTTAAAGTTTTGTCAAGTGGCGTGTAAGGAAATGTATAAGTTTATAGGTGGGTGGATTTGAACAATACGGCGAGACGTCCTATACGTTTACTCGTACACATACATGCGTACATACAATTAAAACTGGATAAGTGTCAAAAACGAGTTTACGCTAATTAATAATATTATAATTTCCTTGTAAATAATGTTTGTTTTCATATTTTCATTATAATGCAGCCGTGCCTAAGCCGACGACGACAACAACGACCACCACTACGACCACTACGACCACTACGAGCACAACTACCACGACTACGGTGCCCACTTCGGTGACCGGTGGCTGGTGGACGACTGAGATGCCTAAAAAATCGTCGAAATTCGGCGGAAAGGGTATAAAAAAAGAAACAAACGATTTATAAAATAACTCAAACCCACACCCTTATTTCTTTTCATACCTACGCACATTTTGCACGCTCGACTCGTACTAACGCGATTTGTGTTATTTGTGAGCTCACTACTATACGTTTATGATAAATATAAATCGCATTGAACCCATATAATACGAGTAGTGAGTGCCTACTTATAAGGTATCAAAAATAGTCCCTTTCCGATCGCACCGTAAGAATAAATTATATGCTTATGCAATATGGTGTACTTGGTTATGATTTTATTTTTTTTCTGAAAATGGAAGATTTTTATTTATCATTCAAATATTACAGTTGGAGATGTTTAACTTATTAATACATTAATATATAATACAAATAATTGATAACATTTTATTTATAACAATAATAGTTATTATTATTATTATTATTATTATTTCAATTATGGATTAAATATTCTAAATAGTCCTCGACTACCCGAATCGGTAGGCGATAAAAAGACGCGACGTATTAAAACTAAACTGTTTAATTGCTGTTTGAACATAATATTTGAATAGCAACTTGCATGCGCTTACGTACACTTTAATACGTATTTAGTCCGTGGTAACAACGGCCGACTGTTCAAATAAGTATTTTGCCGACTATCCGATTTCAGCATCAAAGATTAAAAAAACAACATATTTTATCGTTTCCCTCAGTATTAATATATTTTTATAATATAAACAGTAAGTATGTAAAAGCATTACAAATACAAATTTAAATCACTACAATAACATACGATTTAGGCGCATTATAAGACTGTGTACGCATTTGGCGCTTTTGAATGATAGGTACCTACGCCGCCGTTCTAAATTGAATATCTGGAATGAAACATCCATGTTGGTGTATTGGATTTTGGCACTTTTGTACATACGCGATACAATTTATATCCTTCTTATCTCGTTTTGGCGCTTATGTCTACCATCGATTTTACCAGCACCGGGTCTTTCGCGTGAGGAAAAATCGAGAATTCGAAACCATTTTCCCCGGTGATAAATGAAAACAACAAACGTAATAATTTTAAGCGATAATTATAAATTTACGTTTTATCGTCAACAATTAGTTCGAGGACATTTTTAATTGGACCGGTTCGATCGACCTGGCCACACACCAATACAGCATAACTTACGATCACTGGGCCTATGCGAGGACCACTACGGTATACAGTTAATTTATCGCCTTGTTCGGTCGGACGCCTGAAAACTTTTTCTAGCCGATTTGGTATATTTATAAACGCTCGCGCGGGCGCTCTAAACGTATAAATATATTGTATATCATACGATATACCATCGACCGCCCCCTTTTCACTCCGTTGGATTTATGTACCTATTTGTGTGTTTATATTACGATACAGAGTATTTTATACAAATATATGTATATATATATATATATATTTTTTTTTATCATATAGCACCCGCCAACGAAGTGGACCGGAGACCGTCGAAGAAGACCGGAAAATACCAAGACGCCGAGGCCGCCAATAGCAAGAAGGACGATCCGACCGAAGAAGACCAACAGCAAAGTTCGCGAGCAGCCGCCGCCGCCGCCGCCGCCGCCGGTAAGTGTGACCGATAATGTGTGGCGCGGACACGCCCGTTAGTGTCGCCACTATATTATTATTGTAATACTGGCGCGCGGAGAACAAACAACGCGCCGGCCAACCGTTTGATTTACCGACCGGATCAGTGGCGATAGCGGTGGCAGAGAGGTAGTATTATAAGACGCGCGAGGGATGACCCTTTTGTTTTGTTTACACTGTATAAATCACTCTTCTACTCGAAGAAGAAATTTCTTATTTTTTCTGTCTTTCCTCCGCCCCACTCCCCTTTTCGCCGGCTCGACCTTTTCCGTACATTATTCACGTGGAGACTTTTTTACTTTTACTTATCGCCATATCAAACGGGCGCGTTTTTATTTCTCGTTTCGTCAAAAATGTTTATTTTTACCACATCACCGACGTTCTCCGGAGCAGTGCGCGTTTAAAACCTATTTTTTCCGGCTTGATGTCCGTATATATATATATAGCACCTACTATATACATCGGCCATCGACGGCGTCGTGTTTGCGTTACTCGTTACGCTCGCTACGGTTAACCGGCTCGGGGATATAATATAACGCAGAAGTATAATAATAATAACAAATATTATATTTGTTCTCATAGGGTATATGAATACAACATTATACTGTCGATACACGTCTTACGTATTTTTTTCAGATGGATATTTGTACGAATAGTTCTTCTTATTATTATTTAGATGGTTTATTTTGTACTTCAGGGTTTATTTTAATATTACAAGCAATTTTTTATCGAAATTCTAAACTGTACAAACTCACTAGAGCAATAATGAAACAAGCTTTCTTAATGCTGATGACTATTTCTTTGAACGGATCACAATAGTACATTTTTCTGACCATTTTTATGGACGATTGGATGAGTCATCAATTTTCGTATACTATTTAATTACATTTTAGAGCTACATAAAACTATACTTTTTAGTTGACTTTTAATCAATACTCCAATCTTCAATTTGATGTATTCTTATAAAATTAAATTTTAAATAAAAATTTTATTAATAAAAATGAATTTAGGAGAAACCATTAGTCCAACGTGCATAAGAAACACCCTGTACATATCAATGCGTTTATTATTTCAATTTTGCTCCGTGCCGCGTTTAATGGAAATTTAATACGTCTATACACGCCCGTCCCTTCGAGACCTCTTCTGATACCTATACCAAATTATAATGCCGGTTAAAGTAAATTCGTGAAACAGAAACAAAAATCCACAAACGGGTCTTCGTCGATCGGCTATAAATTATAATAATACATATACCTATTGATATATTATGCTCTTCGATTGACTATAAATTATAATAATATACCCGGGGTCGTTAAGTCGAGAAGTTTTGCGAGCCATACCGCGATAAGTGCAATGCTAATAAGAGCCCTGCAAACAAAAAATAAACACTACACTATAATGTACATTTTATACCACTATAGATTAAATTAGGTGTCGGTTTTATACTATATTATATACAACAACATAGTTACCTATTACCTACCTATTTTCTTATTTTTATTTATATATCTATATAAACGAAATCTAAGGCTATTAGACGTAATAATGTTTTTTAATAAAATTAGGTTGGATAGATACATTATTTGAATTTACAAAAAAAAAAAATTATGTAGAAATTGTTAATTCGAGTAATTTCAGTATGTGGCGTGGTTCTGAGTAAGTGCTTAGGAAAGGTGGTCAGAAATTTCCAATTCCCCACAACTTCCTTTCCTATGTAATATTCTGTATTCGGTTAAGACGTGCTTCAATGTAAGGAAATGCCATATTATAATTAATGTTAATTATATAATTATGTGAGGGTATTCTTTTTTCGTTAAATTTTAGTCGTTAGGCTTGCGTGACCTACCGTTTGAGATCAAAGTGTTGTTATATTATCTATTGTTATAAATTATAATGTTGATCGAAGACATTTATACGTAAATTAAACGATTTGATAAATTATTGATTTCTTATCATCATTAATGCATACATTTTAAATAATAAATACAATTTAATTGTTTTGACAAAGATAAATTTCTAAGTTATTTTTTATTTATTTATATTACACATATACCTACAATAATTTTTTACTACTAAAAAGTTTTAAATTTTGTTAACCTGTGAAAAATAAAATACATTTTACAACTTGGTTAATTTATTTTGTTTAAGTAAAATTAAAAATTAAAAAAATTAAAAATTAAAAAAAAAATTAATTAAATTAAAAATTTTTTTTACACCTCATAATACCCATTTAAAATTAAACTTGGTTAAACGTTTTTACTTATTGCTTTATTTTCTCAAATATATCTACAGGCTATAGATTGTAAATATTTGTTTTAATTATGTAATAAGAAAATTAAAATGTATAAAAAAACGTATACACTCGACAGGGGTGAGGCACTTATGTAAAATTAAATTGTTTATATGACTTAATGAATAAAACATTTATACATCTAATGGTAAGGAGACTATCTGAAGTTATTTCTTATATGGATAGCAGATCGTAATTTATAATATAGAAAATTAAAAATAAACCGAGGTATTATATGTTTATACTAGGTGAGTATTTTTTTTTTATTAATTGACCCACGCCAACATAGGCCATTAGGTGGTTTTTAGTAGATTTTTAACTGTGAAAGAGGGTACTCTTGGTTTTGTACACGTGTATGTGTGGCAAGGACTTCTCACTAAAAACACTGACGGCCACCCATCCGGGAACTAGTGGCACTGGCTGGTGCTTGCAGCCAGAGTACATTTGTGAATGAAGCCAGACACTATATCACGCCAAGCCACCCAATCATAATTGTTAACAATACTAATATTATTTCAATATGATGTATGTATGTACTTGACAACAATGATAATTGAAATGTGAATAGGTAGTATTCACTATTCTTATATTCATTAGGCATCTATTACATTGTTGAATACAAACAGTGATCATATTATTATTTAAACCTTTAATTACAGAATTATAAAATGCACAATAGTAATATACTCTCTTGAGAGTATAATATTATTCAACTCGCTGCGTAATAAATTAATTAGTAAAATACATGGAATTAAAACAACCGACTCCTACTCCAAAGGTAATTATTTATTCTTTTTAGTTAGTTCTTCAGAATATTATTAAAAGATAATATTTATATTTTTCCCTAACCTTTACTCTAATAAGGTGTAATTATTTGCTTTTTCTTGATTTTCGTAACACAATTTAATAGTAATAACACTAATAACTATAGTAATAATTAGTAGTAATATGGTTAGTTAACTAAATAACTCATATAGTCATATTCAATTGAATATGCATTTATTGTAGAAACAACTATACATACTTTTTACTATCAACACTTAGGTAAAGTAAGTTAGCACTCTGTCAACTTGATTAAATACATAAGTCCATATACACTGAATTTTAATTTTAAAATTGTAAATACATACATAAATAATATTTCACAACCTTAATATTGTTTTATAATAAAACGTGTATGCAATTTTCAGGAATTCCATTAGTATGATTGCAAAGTAAACAAATATAATATTGCATGTGCATTTTTAATGAACTATGAAAACATTTTTTTAAACAATATTATATTATGAGAAATCCTAATATATTATAAAAAATACCATAATGTTGTACTTTGCAGACTTATTAAAATGCTCTTCGGCATTACTCTACATTTTTTTATTTCCCTTTCTTATGTCACCGAACATTCAGTTACTAAAGTTAGTTCAATAAATTAATGAATAACTAATATAAAAACTAATAACTCCAAAGTATAATATTTGTATGTAAGTTAGGTTAGCCGGCTAGCCGTGTAAATGTTTTTTTAGATTATACTAAAAGAAAATAATACACTTTATTGATACGCCTTGTTATCAAAATGGTGACCCTACATTACAAAGAACGTAGGTACATATATAGGTCTACCTACATAATATGGAGTAATCGACATTTATAGAATATTACAAATTATTGAAATAAATAATATTTTTTAATTTTATGTTTTATAAATGTGTGATATTATATTTTATTGGCCTCAGTATTTTATTTTATCCATGTATAGTTGAAAACCCAAAGCATACATTATAAATTAGTAAATTTTATAAATTTAACTACCCAATCTAGTAGACCACAACTATGAACTAACAATATTTAAATTTAACATTTTAGACTTCTACTGAAACATTAGTATTTATTTGAATTGGATAAGATAAATATAAGGAACATAAGCACTACTATTATTTCGTAAAAGTAATAGAAATAGGATATTATTGTTTTCTGAACCACGCTTTATTTACTAAAAATGTATGACTCAGTAACTATTTAATTTCACTTCTTAAATTTTAAATCTTTTTCGTGTATAAAGATAACAATAAATATTAATTAAAATAACAAGCATGTATTAATTAAAGAGAATGTTTTACTAAGTATCTTGAAATATTAATAAGTGAAAAGCTAAATATACTTTTACCTAAAAATAGAATAAACAAAACAGCAATATGATCGAACTAAAAAATATCGTATACGAAATAACTTATACTTTTAAATATAAAACTGTTTGTATATTTTGAAAAATGTAAATATTTAATATTCTTAAGTATAATAATGATAAGTACCTATCAGTGTTTATCTTAAATTTCAGAAAGAAAAGTTTACTTCTTTGATGGGTTAACACAATTTGTTTTTCATTTGAGTAAAAAGTGAATGAATCAAGTTAATAAGAACCATATGCAATCTACCTAAATATAATTTTCATACTCATCTATAAAGTATTAGCTTTCAAAAAATGTTGGTGATCGTTTATATTTTGTTAGAATGAACGTTTGCCAAACAATATTTAAATGCATCACTTATACACCATTCATGAAATCAGTATCAAAAATTGTTAATCATTCAAGCATTTTAATTATTTATAAAAAACTAAAATGGTTAAAAGTAACCTAAATAAATAATCGCGTATTTCAATTTTTTTTTTCGTTGTCATTACAGTTGTCGT